AATGACAAAATGATACGCACTCTTTGCACACTGTCAAAGAATCATTGTACACAAAATCAACTTTGTTCAAATCAAAACAAAAAAAACTAACCCATCTGGTGGATTATGGTACAAGCTTCCAAGAAAATTCTTTTATAAAGAACCACATTATTTTAATGGATTTCTTCGCCAGTTAGTCGTCTGTCACTTCGTTTGTGCTATTACCGTGGTTTCACAAGAATGACCTAACCGATATCCCGATTGTTCTGGTATCAACAAACTATTACTATTTAATTACTTCAACAGCTCACAATCAGCTCTAAAATGTTCTCTAATGCATGTGACCAGTGATGGATCGCTCTTTTGGGGCTTTTCACCACTTTTTTTTTTATAGAATGTTAACGTAAAATCCAGTTGAATGTTCAGTTAACCCATCGAAAAGTAGATAGTTTAATGCTATTAATCTCCATATTAAAATACAAAATTTCCACACCGTAGATCCACACTCTCACTGAAACTCGAGGGCGCTCTCGAGTGTACCTTCAGCGAAAACAAAGAGTGTGGCTCTGCGGCGAGGATGTGTTGAATTTTGATAGGGAGATTAGCTGCACTAAACCACAGACAAACAGACGTAGCCCTTCATTGTGTATCTTCGTTCACGCATTTAACGGTTGATTTGAATATTATCAGTTCCGCGAACTACTCGCCGCAGCGCTGGCATCGGATCACTTTGACGTTTCTATACATTCTATAGATCTTTTATGCAATATTGTTTGCGAGTTAGCGAGTAAGCTTGTTTTCCGCGAAAAGCCCGAGAGGTGTCGTTACTGAGGTCCTATGTTTTAAGATACTATGTTTTCAAGAAATACTTTTTCAAAGAGTTACGTCTGTTTGTCTGTGACTAAACTATCTATTTTAAGATGGGTCAACTGAAAATTCAATATGATTTAACGTAAGCATTCTCTGCTAAAAAGTTATGAATAAGTCACAAAAGAGCGATCCATCATGTTGATGGGACTGAACTCTTCGGCTTTAATCGATCTAGCAACTTTTTGAATATGAACAACAATTCCTTCCGAACCAGTAACATGTGGCCGGTGTCAATCAGTCTGGTGTTAGAAACAGAAATGCTGTACACGCTATTTCAAAACTACCCAAGTTTGGGTGGAATCCACCCAGATCGGTCAAAACTGAACCTACCCAAAAATGGGTAAACTGTGTTGGGAGTGACAAGTGGACAAATGAACAACATCGACATGAATCCGATCGACATTGTTCATTTGTCAACTTGTCAGTCCCAACACAGTTTACCAATTTTTGGGTAGGTTCAGTTTTGACCGATCTGGGTGGATTCTACCCAAATTTGGATAGTTTTGAAATAGCGTGTAAACATTGATAAGCAAGCAAATGACGACCTCACGACTGCACTAAATTCTATACTGCGAACATTGCGATGAAATACGAACACCCCTAAACATTTCCACATATCGCTTATACCAATAAGCCAGTTTGGCTAGAGCTTGTATAATTGACATCGACACGTCTCCAGTTACCTATGATTCATTAATATGATCCAAAAAGAAGTGACCAATGACATGAAAGCAATCTTGAATAACTCTAGTGTTAACATTATATACTCCAGCCGTTTTTCCTAATGAAAATCAAATATTTCTATAACATGTTGGTAGTGATCTATCTTCCTCTGAACATATTCACAACGAGTTTTCTTATGTGACAGGTCACTCTTTGAGAGAGTGAACGGTCAAAGTCCTTCAACAGAGCTTGTTTTCAAACAAAGCTGTTTAACAAACATTTTATGATTTATTTGCAATTCAGCGATAGCACGTTTGCGATTTTTATCAACATTTGTTGATCACGGTCGTCGAGAATTTAAAGTTGATTGCTAATGATTGATAATTATTGGCTAAGTAACAGCTGATGCTGGATTTTAACTGTTCCATGTTGTTTCAAGTTTTGCTTAAGCTTCTTTATTTGTTAAAATTGTTGGTTCTCGTCATCCTTGTGGGCGCACGACAATACTTGGATTCAATCGAAAGTACACAATCAATCTTGCTCGGCAAAAACCCACACTACCGATTAAGGCTCTGAACCATTTGGTGGATTATTTTAACTTTTGGTTAAAATATGACAGATGGAAAGTTATCGATTAACCCTGCTATCTGAGCGTGGTTATTTCTGACAGACAAGAAGTTAATTTTGACAACAGTGGCTGAGTTCTGCTCGAAAACCGATCGTAGTGAGCCAATTTAAAATCGTTAGTTTGCAACGTTTCTACATCTACAAAACTCCCTTAAAGGCCCAAGCGCAATGACGGCGGAAGCGGAACGGCAACGGCAGCGGAAAAGCCCGATCTGAGTAAGCCTACTTGTCGGATTGAAAACTAGTTAGATCCAAATCGGCTTCGGTTAGGCATCTTGATGTCATTAGTGACAAGTGTCAAACTTTCCGTTTCCGTTCCGCTTCCGCCCACATTGCGTTTGGGCCTTAAGTTTTACAAAATTTTCTATAATTTTCTATAAATATATATGAAGTTTTACGCACCTCCACAAAATGCTACTAAATTCGTTAAACTTCTACAAAGTTTGCTGCACTTCTACGTTTCTCGTTGATTTTCCGAGACATTCCACGATCGAAATTTCTTGAATTTGTACGGACTTTCCATAACTATTCCAAGTCCATGAGGCTTCAAAAAAGTGCCCTGAAATTATATAGAGGTTGCCGACCAAAAAGCTTCTCTGAAATATAATAATTTTGTACGAAGCTCGCCAAATTTAAATAAATTTTCCTGTTCCAATTTCCTTGTTTCTACAAAAAAAATTGTGAAGATATATGAAGTTCCCAGAATTTCTACTAAGTTTCCTCAATTTCTACGATGTTCCCTGATCTTTGAGTTACGAAGTTTCCAGAAGTTAGATGAAAATCCCTGTGCTAATGGCCAATTTTTAGAGCCTTGAGACGTCTTATTATGTCATCGATTAAATATCGATATAATATAATATCTCAAAATTGCTTCTTCTAGTCCAGATCATAAGAAAAGTAGTCAACACAAAGGAGTTTAAAAAAATCGTTGATAGTTGTCAAATTTTATTAATCGCCGTTAAATAGTAACGTCGAACTTGACAAGTTTGACAAAATACCGGTGAGTCATAAAAAAAAACACCTAAAATTCTAGGGGGAGGGGGCTAGGTCCCCATGGCACTCCCATTAGTTACGGTAATGGGTGCTAGTCGCATATCTTATCAAAATTAAGGTGTGATAGACACTGGTTGACATAGCATGCAGTCCCACCTAGGCCCAACTCGTTTTATGAAGTTTAATACCCTGTTGGGATTGCTTTGACAAATTTCAAAGGGTTCTAATAGCCCTTTTCCAAATATTGACATTCTTCGTTTGAACAGTGCTCCACAATTGCAGAGTGTATGTTCTGCAGTTTCGTTTTCTAAATTACAAAAACGATAGTCGCTAAACTGAATTTTTCGATTGATGGCAATCGAATGTGCAGGAAGGCAACTTTCACACCTGCGTAGGATATCGCACCCATTCAAACACACATGGGCCGGGACCAACGGCTTTACTTCCCTTCCGAAGGAAGACGTGACCAGAGATTTTTATGCTTCAGAAAAATCCCATCGACCTCGGCTGGGATTGAACCCAGACCCATTGGGGTGTGAGAAAGCAGTCACACTTACCACTACACTATGATGCTTTCCCAGGATTCGTCTAATCAGCTTCATAATAATATACCATCGCGCTATTCTCAAACCCTGTGATGGTAAAATCAACCAACAACTTCCCTTGCTTTTCTCCAATCTCGATCATTAGTAACAGGTAAATATTAATTTTATTCAATTTATTTCATTGAGGCATATTCAATTGACCTGCATTGGGTTATTATTTTGCATACAATCATATGGGAAAAAGGGAGACTCACGATTCAGCATGTAGAGCGTATGCAAGCCGTTCTAGGGGTTGTTTGGGGCATGTGGTTAATTTTAGACATTATAGTTTGACGTGATCACCATGATCCACTCACGTTCTGGAATGTGGCCTTGAGACTTGAGATTTGGCCTTCATACGACCCCCTTCTGTCTCACAAAATCAAAATCAAAATCAAAATCAAAATCAAAAATCAAAATAGCATTCAATATCGGTTTTCAAACATACGAATCATAGGCTTGGAACAATAGTTGACCTTAACTTTAAAGTGACATTTTTCATTGAACTAAGCGAATATTTTTAAATGTTGTAAAATGTTTCGAATGCTAGAAATTAATGATTTTCTGTAAAATTATACCATTGGTAATAAAATAATGCCTACATTCATGCGCAACTGCATTCAATAAATATATATTCCATAATATCTGCTGAAAATATATTTCGTACAAGGCCTTAGGGAAACCATAATAAGCATTTTTAAAAAGAATATCTCATGGAAGCTACTCGAAAGCCTATACTCATAATGCTGATTCAGGGAAAATATTGCTACGGCACTGACAACCATAGCATACTATTAAAACAGATAATCTGACGCCAAATGCTAATTTTTCTCTGAATTAGCAATACATTTATTTGCGGTTACAAATTTATGGAGAATCTGTACAAAACACATAGGGTTTTAGAAAAAAAAAATATTTAATTGCACACAAATTCAATAAAAAATTTCAGCAAAAAAAAATCGAATTTCAACTTTCTTCAATAATCTTATTTTTTTTATTCTTCTTAACGAGAATTCGATGTTGAAAGCACAAATAAACTGTATTTTTAATCTACATTTGTATTCATAATAACAACCCATGACACTAGCTGCCAAAATATTTTGATCTAGACAATAATCTGGACCTTTAAAATTTAGTTTAAGAAGAATAATCTTTTCCTTTTGATTTGTTCAAGAAGGAGGATGTTGAACATTCCTCCTTAGGAATTCCTATGGCGACGATTTCGGCGCGTTTTGTTTCAATAAGAACAGACAATCTGTAGGGAAAAGTATAGCATTGTGTGTACGAGTCCGTTACCATGACAACATAAGTCAATGTTTACTAGGTAGGTGTGTTTCTTTTTAATCAAATCGAACAACCAACAATCGAAAGATGGAAACTTCAACAGATCAATTATTTTCGAGTGTCATTATCGGCAGTAGTACTGCAAGACATAAAGCAAGGCTTGGTCAGTTCTCTGAATATCGAGGTACGTTTTTACATCTGTTGATCAATAGCATACACCCATATTCTCATTTTCGTTCGAACCGTATTTTCTATACAAAAAGTTTTTTTTTGTTTGGAAAATACGGTTCGAACGAAAACAAGAATATGGGTGATAATTATTCTCTACTAAATTACTCGAAATCTTACAGAGGAAAGGTATTATGCCAACGTGTGGGTTCAATTACTTCTTTACTTAAATGTGCATTTCTGTGGAGTTTGGCTAGCTTCCAGCATTATCACATTGTATTATCAGGTATTTCTTTTGAAGAAGGAAGCTCAAGAAAGATTATTCGAATCGTATACATTTATTTTTAGTACTGGAACTTATCAACTATTCACCGTGTTTTATCGGTATTGTCTTTAATCATAGCTGCTCCAGTCGAATGTCTACGGTTGTACTTAGGATATTCAGGAAATCTGCTGGATAAGGTAAATGGTGTTGCTGTTTTCACGAAGTATTCGCTTTCATTTATCCATCATTGCAGATTCCTGATTTTGCTGGCTTTTGGATACTGTCGGTTTTTATACAGACCCCTCTGCAAATATATCTTATGACTAGTGAACAAATTTTGAAATACAAAACCAGCACTATGTCCCAAGCAATTCAGTGTCTTTTGCTATTTCTACAGATTGCTTCGAGTTTTACTGCCATTCGTAGGGCATCCCGGTTCCGCCGCGAACAATTTCAGAACGAGAAAGCTTTGTTTGATATGGAACGTCGACCGGGGAGCAACATTTCTGTTATTAGTGACTGATTATTTTTACTATAGAGCAATAAAATAATCTACCATTAGACTTTGTAGGTTCTGTTTAAATTATTAACTTCGAAAAAGTTGTTCAAGTGATCAAGATTCGCACGGAATGTGACAAGAAAGTTTTTCAAAGCTTCCACGTTTTGTCGATTGCTTTCCGATGGGCCTAGAAGTGTCGTTCTCGTAGGAACGCAATGGTGCAGAAACTGAAAATATACAAATAGGTTGATTATTGTTGATGTATGTATGTAATATATATACTTGTCTGGTATGGTCTGGTATGGTATGGTACTTGTCTGGTATGATCGTCTGCTGTGCGACTAAACAAACATTTGTCATCTTGTCACTATTTTTGATATGGTATACAATGTTTCATTATCAGCAAATAACGCTATCATCTTTAGTCACTGAATTTATATTTTAAACTATTGTTAATTGTCGCTCATAAAGCTATACCGACTTCGAGGTCCCCTGCTTGCTTGAAATATTATTATTTCGTTATCTGCGTTAGTTACAGTGCAGTTAATTTTAATTCGAAATTGATGATGATGCAAGAGTTAAACGATGTTGCAAATCATACTTCTGATTTGATGATGATGGTCCCACCTCTTACCCCTACAAAGGTTTGAGCTGGACGAGTTATCTTTAAGATAATTAAATATAAACATTTTAACCAGGTTTGCAAACAAAATCGAGCTGGTTACAATTACAGATATAAATGTCCTGTTAAATATGCTATAGGCATCAACCAAAAACATTCAAAGGTGTAACTAGTTATCAAAAGTCCAAGTATAGTCCTCGACAATACTTCCATTTACACGTGACCTGGGATTTACACGTTTAAGCTTCCGCAGTGCCAGGACTATATCCAAGGAAACGACTTCCAGCCAACCCTTTATTAATTCAAGGCTTTTGCCACAATTTCCACGTATTAGTCATTTATACCTGTATTCCGCGCGCGAGGCTCAAACCATCGTAGACTACTCAAAGCTATTTTTACTATTACTACTACAAAATCAAAAAACTAAAAATCCATCATCACCATCGAGGCAAACAATGTAGTTTTTTGTATATGCTACACCAATTACTAAAATGTCTATATGACAGTCTCCATACAAAATAATCCGTTAGAGATAACTTTGTCAAGATACATGATTTATCCATTCATAAAAATTTAACTGCTCAATAAACAGCTTTTACATGTGAAATGCAGCGTCTCTTGAATTCTGTAAGTGTAGTTGCACGCTTGATGTGTCTAGGCATCGAATTGAAAACATTTATACCTTTGAAAAATAATGAATTTTGTGAAGCATTATTCAAAAGATGTGGTGTTCTTACTTCATCCGCGTTTCTAGTGTTATATCTATGAAAATCACTTCCTCTTTCAATCCGATCACACAAATATCGAGGCAGCAAACCATTAACTACTTTAAAAATGAACACCATAGTCAAAAACACAATTCTTTGCTTCACTGACAGCCATTGCAAAGCGTCCAGCATAAAAGTTGAGGAAGTGAATCTATTACATCTTAAAATCAAACGCATTACTTTATTCTGCAAACGCTGTAATCTCGATATTTGTGTTTCATTGGCCAAAAATAAAATGGAAGGGCAAAAGTCTAGATGAGGGGAGATGATTGATTTGTATAACTGTATTTTACTACCAATAGTTAAATCGTTTTGCAAGCGACATAGGATTCCATACTTCTTGGCAATTTTCTTGATGACATTGTCAATATGAGAATTGAACTTGAGTTTGTCATCAATAATCACGCCAAGATATTTAATTTCCTGAACGCGATCAAGTGTCTCATCATCAATAACAACAGAGACATCATCATCTACACGATTCCGCGAAATTACCATGAATTTAGTTTTACTTATATTCAATTTCAATTGTTTATACTTCAACCATCTACTTAGAGAACGCAAATCTTCATTCAAGCGTGAAACGGCTTCTTCTAAATCTTTAGCTGCAATGAATAACACAGTATCGTCAGCAAAAAGATTAATATCACAAAACCGTAAAACTCGTCGCATGTCATTAATATACATAATAAATAAAAGGGGCCCTAATACACTTCCCTGAGGCACTCCAAGGTCATTGTCAACGGGACAAGATACAAAATCATTAAAAACAGTCCTTTGTGTTCTGTCAGATAAATAGCTTTCAAACCATTTGTATGCAGAACCCGAAATTCCAAAGCGCTTGATTGTTCTCAACAATAAGGGCCTAGAAATTGTCTCAAAAGCGCGTTTTAGATCCAAATCCACAGCAACAATCGTATCTTTATGCTCCAAATTTTCTTTCCATTTAGCTAACACTAAGTTTAACGCGGTTTCACAAGAATGGCCTTCCCGGTATCCCGATTGTTCCGGTATCAACAAACAGTTACTATTTAAATATTCTAACAGCTGGCCTTTTACAACAAGTTCCAAAATTTTCTCTAATGTGTGCAACATGTTGATGGGACGAAACTCTTCGGCTTTAATCGTCCCAGCAACTTTTTGTATAGGAACAACTAAAGATTCTTTCCAAATATGCGGCACGTGCCCAGATTGCAATGATTGATTAATAAGGTCCCGCAGAGTGTGTCGAATGACATGAAAGCAATCTTGAATAACTCTAGCATTAACATTATCTACTCCAGCCGTTTTTCCTAATGAAAAGCAAATATTTTTAAGTTCATCTAATGTTATTGGGTGAAAACCATTAAATCTACAATTACTATTAATCGGCTGTTTTATTTCGTCCGGTTCATTGATCAGTTCAATAGATTGATTGATCAGTGAAATGCTCTCGACGAAATAATCATTAAACTTAGAAGCAATTACTGGTTCTGACTGTTCTAATATGCCATCAAAAGTTATGGTCCGCGATTTACAATTACTAGGCTTCATCAAAGATTTCAAAATTTTCCATAACTCTTTGCTGTTGTTTTGATGCTGATCAATTTTCCTCTGAATATATTCACATCGAGTTTTCTTAATCGATTGTGAATATTTATTACGCACGACCGTGTACCTATTCCAATGATTATCACTATTAGATCTACAAAACTTTTTGTACCATTTGTCCCTCTTACGTTTAAGACGCAAAAGATCCAAATTGTACCAGCTGTTCGAGTTTTTCAAAGAAACAAACTTTTGTTCAACTAATTTATTGGTACAAGTTTTCAAAACGTTAGTAAAAACAGCTGCATCTTCATCTAAAGTTCCGGTAACTAATGGAAAATCCATGCTTCTCTCAACAAGATTCGAAACAGCTTGCTTCGAATATTTCCTCCAGCACTTCAATTTTACAAAATTATCGTTATCGTTAACACTGTCTGAGACATTAATTACTAAAGTTTCATGATCGGTTATTTTCAAATCAGCTTGAGTAACTGAACTGACAGAATCAAAATTAGAATAAACATGGTCAATCAAAGTTCTACTGTGCCGGGAAATACGCGTACATTCACTTACTAATTGTTTCAAATTAAAAAAATCAGCTAATTGCTTCAGATGGTTCGAATTGCTAGTATCATGCCAATTAATGTTAAAATCACCCGCAAGTATATTTAATTTACTAGAATCTAAAAATGTCTCGAACCAGTTCTCTAAAATTTCAATAAAACGCTGATTACTTGAACTGGGAGAATGATACAAAACACCATAATTACCCATCTTCATGCCACGTTCAACTGTAATGCCTAAGAACCAATTGCCATCAATAACTTCGTTTTGGCGAATATTGAATTGAACTGATTCTTTGACATAAATAGCAACACCGCCAGTGTGCCTCGAATGTGACAAACAAGCAGCAGCTTTATATCCCGGAATGCTATACTGATCAAAAGATTCAATTTCTACAATATGTGTTTCTGCTAACAAAACCAAAAGTGGACGATTTTCTTCTACAATCTGACGTAATGTTACGTAGTTTGTAGATAACCCCGCAATATTCAAATATAAAATCTCTAATTTACTCACATTACTACTGGAACTTGGTTGCTATTTATTGAAATGTAAGCTGCTTTTTTTCTGATCATATAGTTTTTTATACACAAAACAATTAGAACTAAATGCTGCGTGGTTGACGTCCAGATTTAATTTACGCTCCTTATTAGTTTTTAAACAATTAACGCATTTCAATACAGTTGACGTACACTTAGAGGTGCTATGTTGTTTGCTGCATCTAGAGCATCGTTCGCAATTTTTGCAATCCGTGCTTTTGTGCCCAAATTCTCCACATCTGAAGCATCGCAAAACATTAATCGCGGGAACTATCGAGCACCGATCAAACCCTACATTTACTTTTTTCGCACATAACAAACATTTATACGTCTCGATATCGACTTCAATCACAACACTAAACTTGTTGTAAGTGAAGCGTGGATTTTCAAACATGTTAACTACTTTTACATCATTAATTGCGATGTCTTCATTTTGACTTTTTAAGAAGTCAATGAAGACATCGGAGGAATACTGATCGCTCATGCCCACCACTTTTAACATTGGCACCGATGTGGGAACAACAGCGTTGTAGTTTTCACCCAAATTGCTTTCAATGCCCTTTTTCACCTCATTTACATTGTATCCTGTTGCACACTCAACAATAATGGAGCCATCTTTCCCGTTTCTAAAGTTACTAATTTTGTGTGTTTTTGGATCCAGGTTTTTTTTCAAAAACTTGCGAGTTTCCTCGCAGTCTTGTTTGGACTCTTTAGGTTTATTCACAATGACCGGGCGAGCCTTACGGTTGTTCTGTTTTTTACTTTCATACTTACTTTTATCATTTTCAACTTTATTTTTACTGATATTCTTATTTTTACCGTCCCCTTGTCCGTTTTTCAAAGCATCCGAGAAACTACATTTAACTTTATCATTAGTAGAATTCTCTTCGTCATGACTATTACTATTAACATCGGGGATTTGACCCGCTTCAGAGGGAATCGGCCTAGATCCACTGCTATTATTCATTGCAACTAAATTTTTGTCCGCAATAATTCTCGAAAATGAACTAGTCATATTTTCCAATTTTTCATTTAATAATATTTCAAGTCCGCCAACGGCTTCCTTCAGGGTACCATTTACATTTAAACGGATAGCTTCCATACCGGTCTTCAACGCGTTATCAATTTGAGCAGCAATCTGATCTCGCATGTTTGTGATCGAGGCCGAAATAGAAGATATTCTTTTCACTTCTTCCTCAATATTTCTAACATGCGAGATCGAATCACTCGGCTCATCACAACTAGACAGACAATCGTCACACTTGTATAGGAGATTAACATTCTCCATGACAACCTTTGCCGTACTCCTAGTAAGTGTAGTGCATCTCATGTGGAACACACGAGAACACTTACCACTACAGGTTAACGGCAGATCGCTTGCCATTACCCCCGACTCGCATTTTGGACATTCCATTTCTACCTAAACACAGTCAACAGACGCTGCATGCAACAATACACAGGGTACAGAAGAGACAATCAAATATCGATTTCACCGCCGCAGCTACTATAGGAAAGCAATTGCTTCCTTTCAGTGCGCCGGGGGGATCGAAGAATAAGCAAAATTTTACGAGAACGGCTACTTTTGTAACCTGTTCTCCTACTTATCCTGTTATCAAATACAATTGGGCACGCGTTGCAATTAATCAATCGCGGCACACAACACAATTTCACACGTAATTAAAAATATTTTTTTCACTGCACAACAAATTGAACTACACTGTTTGCCATCACATACAGCAATGATTGATGCGATTCAATGTGACAATAAGAGATCAAAGTTAGGTTTTCTTTAATCGTAATTTTTAAGATTGTTTAGATGCGCTTAGCTGCTAGGAATTCGTACATAGAACTTATTTGTTTTTTATTGCCCTTTTTGCAAAAAAAAAACTACTTTTGATCCATATACCAATCAGGTTGTTTAGGGGTATCGAGGTTAATACATATTCGTTATTTGCATTAAAAATGTGTGTGTTTGTGTGTATTGTGTGTATTCAATCTAACCCCCACTGGCCGGCAGTGGTATTATGGAAGAAATTTGCTTACAACAATCCTTGATGTAATAATTTAGAGCAAGTTTAGTCCGGGAGTTAGAAAGCGATAGCTCTACTGCAGATTCAGCAACCCATTTCAGAATGCCTGGTAATTCACGTCCATTCCGAGATTACTTTCACATACAATAAGCCTCGCATGTAAACACTACCGTAATCATATGGTACTGCAAACACACTTCTAGATTTCGAAATGTGATATTTAAAAATCTGGCGCGTATTTAGTAATATATGGAAATATGCATTTATGATTGATTTATAATCAGATGGATCTCACCAAAGTCTGCCTCCGAAAAAGCACCGGTTTATTCACTCGCGGTAATCGAAAAAATCTTAAGCGTTATTTTTTCAACCTAACACAACATTTTGAATCACATGCGAAGTTTCCCATTTGCACCGAATTTTTGCCTAACACTTCATTCGCGTGCATCCTCCAGAAGGCCGAACGCTAGCACCAAGAAAAGAAAAATATACCCGGTAAAACTTTTCTTGGGAGGGAGGCAAAAACCGACACCGCAGCAACACAGTTTCTCGGAACAATTTATTGTCCCAGTACTCACGATAATTACAATATCACTTTAAGCACATTAAAACGTGATAGATTTTAATTTACGCATATCCAAACGCTAAAACTAATATTTTTTGACTTGGTACAATTCTAAAATATGCGGAAAACAGATGAAATCAGCGCCAGCGAAAACAAAACAAACCGTTCATTCGTTATCCAAAATTTCCACTGGAACTATTTTAAATAAGTACAACTACATTATCAAAAATCACCATCTTAGCGCCCCTTGGTGGGACTTTGTGTGGGAGCGAGCTGTCAACGAATGGATTTAGTGTCAACGATTAAAAATTTAAATCTTCATTTAAACATCGAGATGAATGTCTACGGGATCGATAAAAATATCGTTGTGCTCAGAAAACGAAGGCGCCCGAACACTGGTTAAGAAAGGATTGTGTAGGAATATGTTGACGTGACACTCGCTTTGATGGAAGCCGAGAACACCTCTGCACTTCCACGAGGAATCACTGGGATATTGGATAAGAGGGTTGGGTTTGCAGCAGGGTTCGTTTTGGTAAACGATAAGCTGAATTGATGTCCGAACGATCATGTAACGCGAAGGAGCTTGGGATTGAACCCACGGTCTTCTGCTCAATAAGCAAAAACGTTTGCCACTTTGCAAACGAGCTTCTTTTATTACAATACACCAATGATCGATTAGATGTTATTCCAATGTTTTCACATTAACAAATAAAGCAGTTAACGAAGCTTGAATGTGAAGGAGCTTGAGATTAAACTCATAATCTTCTACTCAGTAAGCAAAAATGGTCGCTCTAAGGCCACCAAGCCCCTCATATCATACATCATATAAGCTACGATCGCGTTGTTATTGTAACCATTCAAAACCGGCCAGGTGACGTTTATTATGATGTTAAGGTTCACAAAGCACACGATAATCAAACGATGTTACTACAAGCATAGAGGTAACTCTAAGACCAGAAGGTCCCGAAGAAACGTGCTCAACTTTTTGGCTCAGCTCTGGTACTATTTTCGGTCTCAAGCTAATCGATCCACCCCTCAAAACATAGGAAAATCCACGAACCCCTCATTTTATCTGTCAAACTTTCATAGCGAATCAAAACAAACATAGTGTAGTACTGGAATTTCGACTAGAATGGGATGCGTTAATCGATTTGCTTGGGACCAATAGGCTAGTCAAGTAGTGAGCCAAATTAAAATCGTTAGTTTCGTATTGATTGTTGGTATTAGCATAGAGGTAACTCTAAGACTAGAAGGTCCCGAAATAACGTGCTCAACTTTTTGGCTCAGCTCTGGTACTCTCTTCGGTCCCAAGCTACTCGATTCACCCCTCGAAACAGAGGAAAAACCAATAACCCCTCATTTTATCTGTCAAACTTTCATAGCGAATCAAAACAAACATTGCGTAGTACTAGAATTTCGACTAGAATGGGGAACGTTAATCGTTTGCTTGGGACCAATAGGCTAGTCAAGTAGTGAGCCAATTGAAAATCGTTAGTTTCGTATTGATTGTTGGTATTAGTCCCAAGCAAATCGATTAACGTACCCCATTCTAGTCACAATTCTAGTACTACACTATGATTGTTTTGATTCGCTATTTGACAGTATGACAGATAAAATGAGGGGTTCATGGATTCTCCTATGTTTCGGTGCATCGATTAGCTTGGGATCGAAACCAGAGCTGAGCCAAACAGTTGAACACGTTTTTTCGGGACCTTCTGGTCTTAGAGTTACCTCTATGGTATTGCCTAGTCCTAGATCACCAGTTTTTACACATTGAGGATGATTTCTAGTCCCAAGCAACGTCTATTGGTTCTCTGTGTAATTTCAGCTGATCTGGCAATAACAGAGTAGCATCCGCTGGCGGTCAATCATGCTCATGATTATGTAAAAAAGGCTGGGACATTATGGGTCACGCGGTAAAATGGGTCATCTACTTGATTTAAATGTTTTTTGATTGTCAACTTTAAATGGTGCATTCCTGTCTTCATCCCAAGAAAATGTTTTAACCAGTTTATGCTTCACTTCAAGTTCACTCTCACCTGAAATCCTTTTTGTGCCAAGAAGCCATGATAAGGTAGCAAAGCGTCTTCGTAGGCTTTCCTGAGGTGGTGTTTTACGTTATCACTGCAGCTCTCATCCTCAAGCATATTTCTGAAGAATATTTCAATCATTTCCAGAGCACGTTTGAGCCACAACAGTCCTTCTGTAACCGCGTCGAAGATATTTTCATTTCCATCTTTGTCTAACAGGACCAGGTCTTCTAGGTAGTAGAATGTTTGTTCGTTTACCTTGTATTTTGTCTCCAGCCGCTGATATGTAACAATGCCAAATTAAAACTTGTTAATGAAATTGAATATTGAATAAAGCACAAACCTTCACATTGCCGCGCATATCCTTCACTATAGGCGTGAATAGTTTTCCGAATGATTCTACGGAATAGAAAGGAGTTAATCAGTTGCTAAAAATGTATTCATCGAGCTGAACATGTGTACCAACCTATACTTTCAACTACTTGATAAGCTGATTCAAGGAACGCTTTAGAAATGATTTTATTATTGTTATTTTGGGTGCCTGTTTCTGGAAAGCATTTCAGTTTTGAAAAGTCTATCCTGGCTTCTATTTCACCCATGATTGGAGTAGAGAGACGATATAGTATGATTGCACGAACAAACTTTATGCCTAGTAGTACGGCTCGAACCTGTCACGAAACTACAAAGGCGGAACAATCTCGAACACAGCACATCCCTGATTGATTCAAGCAACGGTGATTCATTCTTGATTCATCCCAGCGCCCTACCAATACAATATCAGCAATCAGCACTTTTATCTGCCTTGTCGTCGTCGTAAGGCTTCTGCAAACCACTGATACTGGCATTACTTTATCACATGGAACTTTACTTATCTGTTTGCCGTATCGCTGACAGTATGTTTACACGGCACACGGTTTTTAATGTTTTGTCACATACCCTTACTGAGCGATGTGGTGTAAGTACTGCCGCTCATAGTTCCCGTGTCACTGTAGCACTTGTATAGTAGGAGAGATGGGGGTAAAATGCCCATGCTAAGGAAAATCTCCACAAAGTGAATCGATATTTAATGCCATCTAAATGTTGTATTGAGCTATTGGCCAGATATTACAATTGATATGCTTAACAAAAATTGCTAAATTCTCGACTAAGTTGGAAAACTAAAAAGACCCTTATGTTGGTTTACGAAATACTGCGGGGAAAATGCGCATACATACATTTAGGCTTTATCTATGAATCTTCTCTTATTCATTTTAAAGGTTCACGCCTGATGTTTATGCTTTCAACGCTACAATTCGCATGATCCACTTAGAGCAAAAAAAAAAAGAGTAGGGGTATTCACAAAGCGCATCGTAAACGTATACACCTTCGTAAATGTGTAAACTTCCATTACACTCCAATTGACCCTGGTATTTTTACGATAGTGTATATGTTTACAATTCGCATAGTGAATACCCCTAGTAATGTTGAAAATACACTGGAGTCGCTTTTTACGCGGGTGATACGTCCCGCGTAAAAAAAAAACGCGTAAATTCCGGAATCCGCGTAAAAAAACCGCGTAAAAAGACCGTGTAAAAAAACCGCGTAAAAAGCGACTCTAGTGTATAACGATATACCGCGTAAAATCTGAAATCCGCGTAAAAAACAAAACAAAAATCCGAATAAAAAAACCGCGTAAATTCCGAAATCCGCGTAAAAAAAACCGTGTAAAAAAACCGCGTAAAAAGCGACTCCAGTGTACCTTGTATTTTTCTAATAAACAATTCGTTAATTTTGGTAGTGTTCAGAGATAGGGTAAAGTGGGATAATACGCACCACACGGTAATATGATCAACAGCTTTTCTCGTACTAACTCATATAAACAGTTTCCTAGTGAGTTTCCCAGATGACGGTTCAGCAGCTCTTTCAGCGATTCTGGGAGAAAACCCTTGAAAATTGTTTTGAAAAACACGTAAATAAGCGTAAATAATTTTTCTTGCGATGTTTTCTGCCAAAATTGTTTTAATTTTTTATAAATTTCAAATGATACCTCTATGCTAATACCAACCGGTTGCTTCCGTTCATATAGTAGCATATAGTAGCAGCTGAGATATATGGGGGCACCTATTTCCGGTATGGGTATTTTACCCCTATTCACCCTAATAAGCTTTGTAGATAATATAAACCGGGTAGCATTAGCGCATGGCGTGTATGTTAGTACATAGAGTGTAGAAGCTGAATGTTAGTAAACAGGTCTAGCTAGTATAGGTACCAACGAAAGAGATTCCTACCTTTGTTTGTAATTCAGTAAGTGGAGGTAACATTGGACTAACGTTCACATTTTAGCAAGGAAAACAATTTTAAGGCTCTGAACCATTTGGCGAATTTTTTTATTCAAAGTGTTTTTTATGTTACTTCATACGCGAAGTTAACGATTTTCAGAGTTGGTTGGAAATGCTAACATGAAGCTTTTAGTGTGATGATTTATTAGCTAGAGAATGATCTTTAGAAGAGGGTAGGTGGATAGTTCCGTTGCTTTCTCTCTGAGATGATCACGTTGGTCATGACGAGAGGAGCAACACAATACACGGACAGAAAATTGTTTGCATTGAACCAAACAAAACTTTAGTTGTATTTAAACAAACAATTCCGGTTGAAATTATATTGCATTTTATTGTTTCTATAAAATTTATTCAAATAAATTCAACATAAGATTCTTTTTGTTTTAATAAGCCACTTTTCAATTGCAACTATTGTAAAAATAACAATATTCTATTATTAAGCCAACAATAGTTAATTTTAATTTAGCATTTATTTGCTGTGTCTATTCCCCGGGCCATGAATACAAAAATAACTACCAACCATTCCCTCGTTTTCACCCGGACAAAAATGTAAATAATAACAAAAAAATTCTCATTTGATTAAGTATTGTTTTTAATTGTGAATTTCGGGAAATAAGTACGAGATTTCCGAAAATCTTGAGACTTGAGGTAAGCAAGTAAGCTGCAGTTGTTAAATATAATCAATTTTTAAGTTTTTTTTCCTTGATTTTTTTCCGTCGATCTTGTTTTCCGTACTGAGTACCAATGCTCCCGACGCCAGGAATGCACCTCCCACACCTGGACCCTACATATCGACCCATCAACTCATGAACCGGTGACCAACGGCTTTACTTCCCTTCCCGAAGGAAGGCGTGATCAGTGATTTTATGCCTCAAAAATTCAATTGCAATTCTGTTTGTTGCAAAAAGAAAACAAAACACAAAAAAAAAATCGACATTATTTTTGAATCAATAAACATATTGTTATTTCTACTGCGTGAATTGTCAGCCTTCATAAAATAAATTTGATTGAATCAACAAGAAATCTCTTTTAAAAACAAACATATTTTCTTGTTGACCCAGCTGCCAAATTTGACAGCTTACGTCAAAACCATGAAAGCTCTTGTAAATTCGAAAAGATTTTCTTTTTGATTTAACAATCCATGGGTTTTAAGGGACAACAATACTGGATTGTTGAAACAATAATGATTTCTTTTTGCAGCCAAAACAACATGAAATTCTTATTGCATTTACGTCAAATATTATTACGCTTAAAATATTTTTTTCTGCGTGTAGTTGGGTAAAGAAGAACTGCATTATAACACACCATCGACTGGAAATGCTCTCGCAACGTGGGGCTTTAGGTAGTGATGAAAACGTCGCTAGAACTATTCCACAACCGCAGTCAGTTTATGAGCAACAAGAGGGACGCACATTTTTGCCTGTGGACTTGGAGACATACTTCAAGTCCCCGCGTACATCGTACGGGCTAGGCAAAAATGTGCGTATATCTTGAAAACTGTCGCTTTAATGACCCTTCGCTCATTTTCAACTTCTATTCAATTTTCATACTGCCGTACTCTAACGGAACTATCCACCTACCCTCTTCTAAAGATCATTCTCTAGCTAATAAATCATCACACTAAAAACTGTTAGCATTTCCAACCAACTTTGAATTTTTTTAACTTTTGGTAAAAATTTAACAGATGGAAAGTTATGGATTAAGGCTCTGAACAATTAAAACCAACATCATCAGATATTTAGGCGCAACTGGGGAAACGCTCCTATAGTTGCGGTACGTTAGAAGCGTTAGGTTCCTATAGTTGTGTATGGAGTCTCCATACACAACTATAGGAACCTAACGCTTCTAACGTACCGCAACTATAGGAGCGTTTACCATATCACCTTTCCGAAAGTGGTATTGGTTTGCGTGGGCGTACTTTAGTTTGCGTGTGAAGGGCCTTAGAAAGTTTGTTTACAAATGCTTTTGTGTCGTTATCAAATGTTATGCCTGATTTGGCGATTTTTTTTTTAACTTTTGGTTAAAATTTGACAGATGGAAACTTATCGATGAACCCTGCTATCCGAGCATGGTTATTTCTGACAGAAAAGAAGTTAAATTTTGACAACCATGGCTCGAAATCCGGTCGATCGACAGCACGGGGATTTTCGAACATAGAAAATAACTTTCAAAATGTCATTTTTAACCACTAGTTAAATTTAACTCGGCAAATGGTCCACAGTCTTACTACCATAGAGGTAACTCTAAGACCAGAAGGTCTCGAAGAAACGAGCTCAACTTTTTGGCTCAGCTCTGGTACTCTCTTCGGTCACAAGCTAATTGATGCACCCCTCGAAACATTGGAAAATCCACGAACCCCTCATTTTATCTGTCAAACTTTCATAGCGAATCATAGCGAATTTGTAGTATTGATTGTTGGTATTACCTGGCTTATAACGAATATATCTAGATAGAGCTGGAATTAGGGCGTAACAGCCTTTGTAAACAATGTTGATTTTTAGGAATTCAAGGCACGCCTACACAAACCAACACATCCATCAAGTACGGGAAGTCTTCCCCTACTCGATGGTGATGTCGATTTGCCAGGGAGAGCCATGACATTCGAGAAATCTTAAATATTATGTTGTATGCTGGGGGAACACGATCTCGTTTAATTTTGCATTGCAAATGCTATGTTAAATTAGACAACGTATACGTTGTGTCCGGGGCCCGCGGGCACAACGTATATTCGTTATAAGTCAGGAAACACAGTAGGCCCAATGTCACCCCATCTTACGGTATTTGAAATCTTCGGCTTACCATGCATGTTACTCTTCATTTAACCTCACACCATAGATCGGGGGCAAATTGATCAACGAGGTGAAATTGATCATAGTGCAAGTATTTATTATATTTACGGTTAAGGCGTCAAGTGAAATATTCATAGCTTTTTATCAGGAGACGGTTGATGGTATTCTTGATATAATTGAAAAATAATATTTTCCTTCATATAAATCGATTTCATATAAATTATGTCAAATAGCATACATATGTAACTTGGTACTTACTTGAAAGTGGCAACATTGAGAGTCATTGAATCGGAAAAATAGTTGAAATTTTAGTACTACACTATGTTTGTTTTGATTTGCTATGAAAGTTTGACAGATAAAATGAGGGGTGCATCGATTAGCTTGGGACCGAAGATGGTACCAGAGCTGAGCAAAAAAGTTGAACACGTTTCTTCGGGATCTTCCAGTGTTAGAGTTACCTCTATGGTTATACCAACCGGTGGAAACTAACGATTTCAAATTGGTTCACTACTTGACTTGCCTATTGGTCGCAAGCAAATCGAATAACGTACCCCATTCTAGTCGACATTCTAGAACTACACTATTTTTTTTTTCTTTTGGTTTGTTTTTTTCCGCCGATCTTGTTTTCCGTGCTGAGCACCAATGCTACCAACGTGCCAGGAAGGCAGCTCCCACACCTGGACCCTACCTATCGACCCATCAACTCATGAACCGGGGACCAACGGCTTTACTTCCCATCCGAAGGAAGGCGTGATCAGAGATGTTATGCCTCAGAACATCCCGGCGGCGCCGACTGGGATTGAACCCAGGCCTGCTGGGGTGAGAGGTAATCACGCTTACCACTACACCACCGGCGCCGTTAGAACTACACTATGTTTGTTTTGATTCGGTCGTTTCTTCGGGACCTTCTGGTCTTAGAGTTACCTCTATGGTACTACCATAGAGGTAACTCTAAGACTAGAAGGTCCTGAAGAAACTTTTTGGCTCAGCTCTGGCACTATCTTCGGTCCCAAGCTAATTGATTCACCCCTCGAAACATAGGAAAATCCAATAAGCCCTCATTTTATCTGTTAAACTTTCATAGCGAATCAAAACAAACATAGTGTAGTACTGGAATTTATACTAGAATGGGATACGTTAATCGATTTGCTTGGGACCAATAGTCAAGTAATGAGCCAATTTAAAATCGTTAGTTTCGAATTGATTGTTGGTACTACCAACCGGTGAAAACTAACGATTCAAAATTTGCTCACCACTTGACTAGCATATTGGTCCCAAGCACATCTATAAGCGTACCCCATTCTAGTTTTCAGCGAAGGAGGTTCTGCACGATTTCGGTGCAGGTTTCCAATTCTGCCAGTGGAGGTTCCAGGGAGTTTCGAAGAAGTTTCACGCATTCACGGTAGAGAAGCTTCCGCACAATTTCGGTGTAGAAGCTTTTGCAAGGTTCCGGTGGCGATTTCCGATGCTGCCAACGAAGTTTCCTCGCGTTCAGGGGAGCAGGTTTTCCGCGCATTCGGGGGAGATTTTCGTTGCTGCTGGAGAATGTTGCAGAGAGTTTTAACAAAGTTTTTGTGCTCAAGCATATATACACGGCAAATGAGAACGACCCAAATTTGAGTTTAGCTTACTCATAAATCACATAAAATGCAAGAACTCGCGATGAGTAAATTTACCTCTTGTTTTTTCAAGGATTGCCCAGGAACAAATTCCCAAATATGAAAAAAGTAAAGATTGGATTCACTCAGCCTCCTATTACCCAACAAACAATAAGAACTGATTAAGAGCTGAATAACCATTTTTTAGCTGAAGAAGCATATTTTAAATTGAAGAAGCTACTTCCTGCTTTCAATGTTTGTTGGGTACTCCTAGACTGAGTATAATTTTCGTCAAATTTTCTCATTCTCCGGCAGATTTTTGAAGTTTTCCACATGAGGCATCGCTGAATTCCTACACTTTTGGCTATTATGAGTAAACTAAACCCAAATTTGAACAGTTCTCATTCGCCGTGCACTAAATGGTTGATGGAAACAATGGAACTCAGCTTAAGTAAACAGTAAACAAAAATGATCATATTCAGTGATTCAGATGACAACAGTAGACTAGCGACGTACTATAGTTTACCTTAAACTAAATTTAAATTACGCTGTTAGTAAGTTTAAAATAATAAAAGCATTGTTGTTGCAGATCTATTTATTTTTTAGTATGCCATAGATTCATTGCATAAATAGCATTCAGTTTATATTATGACTAGATTTGAACGATTTAAGCATTCATTGGAACACATTTAATTTGGAAGAGAAAATCGAAATCTCTCTACGGGGTCTTCTAAATACATTTTGATTTCTTTTAATTTTAATTTAGCTATCAGCTACTTCTCATTTTTTGTTCTAACAATAAATATTGATTTGACTTTGGTCGGGTTTTGCTAAAACTATGCTTTACAAGACTCTGATACCGACTATAAATGTTTGTTTAATTATCATTTTATTATCACTGTTATATTTTATAAATCCTGCTTCAAAATATTACCAAAATTATCAATCACAAACAACGTCAGTCCCTCCAATTGGATCTCCTCGGGAATCTGAAAGCATTCAGTATCGCTGTCTAAAAAGGACCAATATATCTTAAGCATTCCATCCTCTTTGTCACGTAGCTCAATCAGTTTGAGCGTGGAGTTAACACTTGTTACGTGCCGTGTTACAAAATTGAAGCTTATCCTAGTATCACAATTATTGTCCCCAGTGCTTATACCGCAATTGAACCATTTATGCAACTGTAACGTTATGACACAATTGTCTGCAAAAAATGTAACATCACTTTCCTTTTGCTGTTGGTACTTTCGCAAGAATTCTCCCGGGCGTTTTATCTGAGTCAATTTACTGTTCATTGATTTTCGTGTGGGCGCATGACGACCGACGATTCGATCCGGCAGATCCTCGGTGTTCGTTATCAAGGTGAAAACACGGTTTATATGATCCAAACCAGCACCCATGATGCCATCCTTCGTATGACCAAGATCAAAAATGTGGCCCATCTCATGGCAAACTGAACCGATTGTAGTAGCGTAGCAACCACCGTAGCTAGAAAAAATGAGGACATGGTGTTGTCTCTGTTTCATAAAGCATGTACTCAAAATACTTACGTGTGTCGGTAATTGCTATCATCCATCATCAGTGTTCGATCAACTAGTGCAGTGTTCAAAAATGCAGGTACAATATCTTCCAGTTTACTAGGCCACGTGTAGAGGCAACCGGTGCCGAACAGGGCCAGGCCGCCTCCTCCTAGGGCAGCATTACCGGTCGTTCTGCGTTTGATATTCTCGTACGAGAAATCGTTATCTGATATCCCTTCGTAATAGGTACTGCTGATGAAGCCTATGAATTTCTGCTTCTCCGATAAGAATAAATCTGACTGCAGAATTTCCTTGGCAAAATAGTTCCACAGTTGTTGATCAGACATTTGTTTCGACTCTTCGATCAGTAGTAAACTATGAAATGGTAAACAGGTCGAGCTTATAGTGAAAGTTTTTCTACCCCAGCCTTTCTCCGAAAGTTTTTCCGCGTACAGGCTTTGCACTAGCTCGATTCCGAGAGAAATTTTACGGCACGCATTTTCGACATCATTTTCTTCTGTATCCGATTGGTAACGTCCATCGTGCCCTTCGCATATTATATATAGAGGGGTAACCGAATAAGGATTCTCTGAAGCCTCGAAGAATAAGTTAATTTCCATCTCATGATGGCAGTAAACAAGAGACACCCTATTTACACCGTTGTTAAGCCTAAATATCACTTTAAATTGACCTCGCTTGTCATTGATGAATCTTACATCTTTGGATGCTGGCCAATCGCAATTATCGATTTGCAATTTCAACTCACCTGCCTCACAACGATTGACTATCACACCCTTAACTAAAACAATCGGATGGGTGAATTTTTCGTTGTCGGTAACATTGATAGACTCAATGGAATGGCTCAAGTTACACATTCTCGGCAGGTTTAAAAATTTCGATTTGATTTGAAGTAATATTAACCGGTTTTTCTTGAATATACTCGGTAAATCGCCGATTCGCTGTTACTGGTGGGTGGAATGTAACTGAATGACTGAAATGGCTTGCGAACCATGGACTTACCACCTACCACCCACCGCTGAGCATAACATGCCGTGAGGTAGCATAAATTCATAGAAAGCAAATTGTCAAAATCATATGTTTAGCAGTGGCCTGTAGGAAATTGATGCTCTACGAGATTGCTTTTGTTGTGAATCATCGTAGTCGGCGTGCAACAAGAGTTAAATGTCACACACATTTATCATTTTGTTGCATTGAGGATTTTGAATCTAGCGTTCGTGATGAAACGTAAATCTTAGAACACATGATGTCACAAAATATGACTTGTTTCCTAGTTATTTTTTTTTGCTGCGATATTTTCGTGAACTGATAGGGGAAATGCCGGCTTCGGCAATACCTTAACCTATTATCGTCAGGGGAGTAAACAAAGTCCTATCAAGCAGTCAAATTTGGCCAATACATCTGAAACACAATGTATTCACATGCCAGAATTGAGCTCTCAAGGACGTTGTTTACCCCCTGACGGTAATAGAATAAGGTAGAGTCGGTGTATAATGAGTCACGCCAAGAGTGAAGCCAAGTCTACCTATTGAACCGTCAAACCGGCTACCTATCGGGCAAAGTAAACAAACTTTACGATGCTATGAAAAATTCACGAAAGGTATTGCAATAAAATATAAAATATAATCGAAGAAATGAGCATTGGATTGCAATGAGCATTAAATTGTCATGGGATACGTTCGGAAATGATCAGTAATGAGAATTTCTACTAATTTTTGTTAAGATAATTTGACAAAATCACTGATATAATGATTTACTACAGCCGCATCACTAGAAGTCATTTGAAGTTGTTGTAGTAGTCTTCTGTTGCCAAGTGAAAAGAATGGGAATCTTTCGAAAACCGTGATGCGAGTTCAACTGTTTTTCTCTTGGCGTGACTCATTATACACCGACTCTAGAATAAGGTATTGCCGAAGCCGTCATTTACCCTACCCCGTTTTGATAAAAATGAATTTTCCATGCAAATACTTTTTTTTATGTGGAAAACCCGTTTCCATCAAGAACGGGAATAGGGGTGTATATACATATTCCTTAACAAGTAGCCCGTAGTTATATGATATAAAATTCTTCATGCCAATTATATTTACATTACTTGAGAAAATCCAGGTAATCGAGATAATCAGGACAGCAGTAGGTATCTGTTCGCCATTAATTTTGTTTTAAATAATTAAACTTCATGATTACTTGGGAATTGTCAAATAACGTAAATATTGAAACTTCCTGCAATAACGATAAGAGTTGATAATAGCGAGGATAATAGAAGAGTTAGGCAGAGTGAAGCTTGCAGCATTGATGTCGATCAATATGCATTTTCGGCAACCTTTGTTTTTGTTTAGACCTCGGATGACTTACCGTGGGTTGTGAAAGTTTCCTCTAGTTTCGATAACAATACTTTCCACGCAACAGAGCCAGTTTGTCCACACTCAAAAAAATGAGCACGTCACTATAATGTATTTCACACTTGATTTCGCACAAATTGTTAAACACATCTATTTCATGTGTGGATCAGATAATACAATCTATTCAGTAACGCTATAAAGCCATTTGTTACACATTTGGATTTCATGGACTTCAAATGTCAGTGTCAACAACCAATCACATAATTGTCGAATATTCTACTCTTAACATCATATACGCTTTTTTAATGCACCACCAATGTAGAGTGCGCCACGCGAGTTCAAGAAGAAAGTCAACCAAACCGTTTGTTTTCATCAGAATAAGTATTTTCCCCAACGCAAATAACAGCATTTTTCATTCAAAATCTTGCCAATTTCCATCGGTAATTGTCTTATTGTACGATTTTCCACAAATCTGAACTGATTTGCACCTTAACTATTCACACACAAGAAATCCGGAAGATCATAACCACTAAGGCACTTTTCTAATTTTCGATTTTTTTCAACAAAAATATTGCTGAACACCAGCAAGATCTTTTCAAAAACGTTACAGAATTAAATTTTTCAACTGTAGATTAAGTTTTGCAGCATCTCAGATGCATCAATTTATCAGGAAAAGTAAAAAAGTGTTCCGCTTCCTATGTCTCAAGGCAAAAATTTATGCTCACAACACTCTTTTTGACGTTCTCCTATTCACCACCAGAGGTTGAATCGATCGTTTAGTTTCTATTAAAAAGGCCTATTGTCTATCATATATGAATTGAGTGTCCTGCATACTATTAATCTTTTTTTTTTTTTTATTGTTTATTTAAAATGTTTATTATTAAATTACAATAGATAATAATACTGAACTTTATTGAAATTGATTTTGTTTGGTCCAGACATGGCTCGTTCTTACTCCCGTTCTCCGTTACGGTCGATAAATCACGCCAAAGGGACAAATATTCCTCCAGCTGCAGTGACTACGACTGGAATCGCCATACGGATGATCGTTCTTCCAAATTCCGTTCGACAACGACATTACGAAAATTTTGACAAAAATTGAACTGCACCTTTCTTCTTCACAAAGATCATCTCCTTGCCAAACCAGGATTACATCAGTTCTGAAAAGAAAAGTTTAGGCGGCATATTTTGAACAAATTACCATCCCGATTTTGTTTGCAGTAAAATTAATCCAAACTCGGTTTCACAGTACCTTATCTGCTGCTTGAATCAAGGATGTATCAAGAAAATCAATCATAAATTTCTATTATGAATTACCTGGACAATATCGTGAAGATCACAGCTGCTTCTTCAGCAGCTAATTGAATGATAAAACCTGGGATAATATGGAACGAAATTTAATAACTTGTTGCTGCTAGGGTGGGGTACCTAGGGGGCTACCAGGACAAACACCTTGGCGGGCTTGGCAAAGCAACGGCCTACCAGTGAGGGTGGGTTATACAACAACCTCTTTTAATGGCTAGCAGAGCTGGAGAACTATTTCTGTATGCATGTAGGAAATTGGTGGATTTGTTAGTTAATTCGACGCTTTTGGACAATGCACAGTGGTACAGAATGCAGATTTAGGTGGAATGATATGTTTTGAGCCTGAAATTGAAACTTTAGACTAAAAGTCTCTTCTACAAAGTTTTTCCTTATAGTTAGGCCCTCATTTTTATGACAATAAATTCTAGGGTGGTTCCTATTATCATTTAAATCAAAAATCTAACTTTTTTGTTTGAATAAATTAAGGTATACATTCTTCGGCAAAGTTATAGCTAATTTCAAGCAACTTTGTTGAAAATATTTTTTTTTTTTTTTTTTTTTATTATAGTCACTTTAACACTCTTGGGTCATTCGTGACTTGTCCGGGGGTGAGATTTGAACTCGTGACTCCGGCGTGAGAGGTATGGATGCTAACCACTACGCCGGAGTCGCCCCCCGTGTTGAAAATAACTTTTTTGTATCTCTTAAATTGGCCGATTTAGAGCTATTTTCTTGAATTGAGCCACCCTACTCTTAAAAAAACAGGTTTTTTGCTCTTTTTTTCTTATTTAGAATTTCTCAGCAAAGGTGTCTTCAGATAACTTTTAGATCTTGAGAAGGCGCAAATTTTTGCTGCACAAAGCTTGTCAATATCTTTCGCCGATCAAGAGTTATCGACGTTTGTATACTAAAAATATACACTTTTCAAATGTTAATATCTCTGGTTGGAGCAAACAAAAAAAAAAGTTTTTTTGCAGCATTTGAAAGGGCGTATGTTATGAAATGCATCTAAGATTGGACCCATCGCTAAAAATCGGCTATTTATCAATTTTATCTATATGAACGCGTCATTGGGACGGTACTAATGGATATTTTGGTTGCTATTGAAAATTTAGTCGATTGCTGAATTTATTTATAGGCCCAAATTAGGGACATTTAGGCCAATATTACATCCATTTCCCCTTATAAGCCTTGACAATACAGCAGAAGGAATAGTCTATGTTGGCACCTTGAACAGTGGATTCCGTGTGTTTTGTTTCAAGATAGTTATGGAAAAAATGTTGTGATGTGTGCGCGTAGATACATCCGCGTAGTAATCCGATTGAATAAGTAAATCCGTTTAGAACGAAATATCTAAATTATGTAAGTTACGAAAACCGCGCAAATTCCGAAAGCCGTGCGAGACAACCGAAGCGAACAAAAAGGCTTATTATCATTTAAATCACCAAAATAAATGTGACAGCCTACGTCAGCAAGTTGATTAATTTTGATTTCCTCCCTAGATATTCTACTTATTTACTACTGAGCTTTGTTAATTTAGTTAATTTAAAGAACGTATCAACCATTTCAAAATATCGCGACCGCACCGAACATTCTAAACTACATAAGCTAAAAAAAAAACTTTTGGTAAGGTCTACCGAATTGCGAATCACTTATATGTAAGCTCCGTAGACGTAGGCGCGTTGATTTCGACAGCCGCGAAAAGTTAAACATGCATCAATACCACATGAGGAAAGATCGATTTTACAGTCATGTAGGGTTTAGTTCACAGATTAACATTGACTGCTGTTTACAAATGTAAGTACTTGAACGGTAAGAAATCAGATAACTCAAATGCGTTAACCGCATATATAAGAGATTTCGCGTACTGAGAGAATAATATAGTAATCGAGTACAATAAACGATAAAAGATTGAAAAGTTATTAATTGTCACATGCCTCTAATTTTACTTATTCCATAAACTATCCCTCTCCTTGTTAATCTGCTTAATGCTATTGATCTGCTTGCGTTTTCTTATTGTGTTGTGGAATTGTGGAGCCGTAAGTTACAAGATAAACTAAATTTGATCCGTTGGGCTGCACACACGTTGCAGCTCGCTATATTGGAGGTAGTTAACAAGTCTAACGAGTTCGTCAAGAAGATAACTGCAATTGCTAATAGGTATCAGAAAATAAAATACAAGGGTAACTTCGAGTTTCATGGCACCTCATTTCCCCCCATCTGGGGTCAACTCGATGGGGAGGAATTTACGTTATGATGGAAAGCTTCTTTTATCAACAAAACTTGTTTCCAGAACTTGGTAAGTATTTATACAGTCATCGATCCATTTACGTGGTTTGTTTGATACG